AATAATAAATGCATGCTAACAAAAAGCAATTGCCGAAATCACTGAAAAACAACTCTATTTTGATTTCATTTTTTCACCATTGAAACTCGATTGTTAGTCGTTAAAAATCACATTAGTACGTTACAACAACTTTAAAATATCTACTTCGATTTTGAAGTAAAAAAAAGTCGTGATTAAATAGTTAAGTTTTAATCAAGTTTTTTTAATTAGTTTTGCAAAAACAGTATAATAGCATTCGATTGAAAGACGTCGTTAAAAAAAAGTTATTAAGTAATAGTTTTAAATAGTTTAGAACTTATAAAAAAGTCTTATAGGGCTCGTATTAAGCGTATCGCGATCGCGATTGCTTTTCACACTTTTGTGATTAGTTTTTTCTTAAAAGAAATCTTTTCGCAATTTGTTTTTTTTTTGGTTGTTTAATTACTTTTTTTCTAGCTTAGCATTTTTTTTAGCAATTCTTAAAAGTAATGTTTTTATCATAAAGAACGTCACACAAAATTTATTATTCTGAATAGATAGATGAATAGATGATTTGCTCTTTTGCGCCGAGATTTTCTTTCAACGTTAAACATTTTTGAATTTAAATTACTTTAAATCTCTGCGTGGAAAATTTTTACTAGGTCGTTAAAGTTGGTTTTTACCTTTGTTTATCAAAACTTCATGCTTAAAATAAGGCTTAAAAACGTTAGAGCAAAAAAATTACTGACTTTTACTTGCATTTTTATACTGTTTGAAAAAAAAAACTAATAATAAAGAATTAATTGTTATTGTTATTAATTCTAATAATTATTAATTAATATATTATTAGTTAGTTCTTTTTTATTAGTTTTTTTTTTCAAACAGTATAAAAATGCTAATAAAAACCAGCAATTTTTTTTACTTTAACGTTTTCAAGCCTTATTTTAAACATGAAGTATAATTCGATTTATTTAACCAATTTCTTTTGTTTCATCTTTTATTGGAAAACTTGAAATAGAAAAATTGAATAAAAACATCGATCATTTAAATGAAAAACTTAATTATATTTAAACTTTTATTAGTCCTTTATTCAAGAAACAAAAAATTATAAAAAACGAGGTATCTAATTTTTTATTAAGTTTTTGACGATGTTTTTTGATTTATTGACGATAATTTTTTCCCCCCATTACCGCACATCGGCGCAAGCTATAAAAGAGGGGGGGGGGGAGAAATAAGCAAAAAAAAAATTTTTTTTTTCGCAATTAGATTTTTTTGCGTTAATTCGAGCCCTGTCTTTAATTTCTAATAAAATGTCTATTCAACCTTATCAATTTGAACCAAAAAATATAGCAAAATTAACATAAATGTTAATTTAACTAAAACATTCTACAATAATTATATTTTTTATCAAGCAAAAATGAGAGTAACCGTCACTTTTGAAACCATAAAAATGACTGAAATAAATTTATTTTTCTACTAAGAAAATATTTTAAATAAACTTTCATGTGTCTAAATTAATATTCATTTGTTAAAAACTGACTAAAAAGAGTTTAAAATTTGACTTCTATTCATTTTTGGCCGTGGAATTGCCCTTATAACACAAATATATAAAATAAAATTATAAAAAAAATTTTAATATACAAATATATTTTCACAAAATGCTACAAAACTTATTTTTGTAAGTAATTATGTGTTAGTTGAAACAAACATTAGTTTTTTGAGGCAATAGAGTCAATAAACTTTGGACAAGACGCATTTTTTTTAATCGAAGAAAAGCGTTTTTTTGAAAATTAAATTTGTTAGTGTGTGTTCATTATTACGTTTTAGAAAAAATAATATACATCAAACATTTTTTTTTTAATGCTCTTTCATATGAGATCATATCTTTATAGCACTTAGGGATCCCTTTAAATAAGGTTGTGCAATTTTAAAGTAAAAACAACATTAAACAACAGTCAAAAGTAACAAAATCAGTATAACTAATTTTTCAAATCAAAATAACTAATTTTTCTGTGCTTAAAAAAAACAAAAATGATGTTTAGCTCCAGTTTTATACATTAAGTTTTATTTTTAAAAAAATTTATAAAGCATTGAGTATATTTTCATTTCAGTCATGCTGAGTAATCACATTTACAATAATTTTGTACATTTACTGAATATCTTCCTCTAGTATGTGTCACAGACAAACTTTTGAGTATTGCATATGATATTTTCATGTCAGCATTCATTATATTGAAATGTCTTAAAATAAAAGTGTGAAAATAGCAGGGGTGTGGAGCCGTAAAAAAAAAAAACAACTCCGACTCCAGTTGCTGAAATTTTTTGAGTACAACTCCGACTCTGACTCCAACTCCAAAGCAAAATTTTTGAAAAATTCTTTGAATTCTTTAAAAAATATTGCCCGGTAAGTTGAAATTTTTTTTTTGACAAATTTATGAAACATTCTTTGATGTTTAGTATGAACATAAGGTTAATTGAATGTTTTGTACATGCACGTGCAATACCAAGAAATTTTACTATCGGAGTCGGTGTCGCAACTCCGCGACTCCGACTCCACAGCCCTGGAAAATAGTGCTGATAACCTGTGTGCAAAATGTTTTTTTACTACTATAATTAGGAAAGTTTATTACTGCTAATTTAGGTGCAAGATTGGAGACCAAAATAAAAGTTGGTCGCCACATACATGTTGCAATACATGAGCTTCTAACCTCCGGAACTGGATCAACTGAAAAGGTTGTTCTATGCCTTTTGCTAATCCTATAATATGGAGAGTCAATAATGTCACATACTAATGTCACACAATGCTATTTTTATATGGTGCTTGCAATTAACCAGCATTTAAATTACCTGCAAATGGTAATATTTTAAAATAACTCTCTCCCACACAGATTTTTAATCGTTTAAAAAAAGGAGGTTTGATAACATCCAAGTAAAGCGTGTACACAAAATAAATGTGAAAGAAAAGGTTTACAATCTGTTGTGGTTTCAAAAAAAAGTGTTAGTTTTTTGATTCAACTTAAAATTAGTTTTAAAAATGACAAAAGAAGAAGACATAAGAGAAAAAACTGTTTGGAAAATTACTTGGAAAATCCCAATGGTAGATAAATCTTGATAGCAAAAACATTGCAAATGCATCCATTCACCGTTAGTCATGTAATTAAACATTTTTCTCAAACAAAATCAATCAACCACAAATCTGTTGGTGGAAGAATGGAGGGTTACACAACTGGTTAACAGTTTTAAGATTAACCCAAACCTTTTACTAAGGGAACAAGCAAAAATTTATGGACTTTTCATAGTTTTTATGTAAAAATTCGAAATAAACATTTTCATTCTTTCAAAGCACAAAAAGTGTCCATACGATCTGAAACTCAACAAAAAAGTGCAAGAACTTGCTGCAGAAAAATGTATGACAATTTTATTTCTAAATATTTCTGTATTATTGAAGAGGATGAAAATTATATCAAGTACGATCATCAGCAAATTCCTGGTGTTGTCTATTATATTAGAAAAAGGAAAAATAGATAAGAAATATAAATACACAAAACAAGACAAGTTCGCTAAAAAAGCCTTGATTTGGCAAGCTATTTGTAGTTGTGGCAAAAAATCAGCACCTTATATTTCTCAGTCCACACTTTCTGGTCATATATATGTTAAAGAGTGTTTACAAAAACACCTTTTACTTCTCATTAAATTACATGATAACAAACCTGTGTTCTGGCCTGATTTAGCTTCAAGTCATTATTGTAGCTATTGAATGGTATAAAAAAAATTATAATTTGTGCCTAAAACAAAAATCCTCTAAACTGCCCAGAGTTGAGAGTTATTAAAAAGTACTGGGCTATTATTAACAGAAAAATGAAAAAAAACAAACAGAAAAACTTTGCAGAAACATTAAAGATACTAATATATCATTTAAAAAAGCATCAAATAGTTTAGATTCTTATTCTGAGTGCAAGCTTTTTGGGTACCACCAAAGCAAAAGCTCAAAATTATTAGATTCCCACAGGAATACTTTGATTTTTTTTTTTTTACTTTTGATCTTTTTATATTATTGTATTAAAGTTATTAATGTTGGAAATAAAAATTGAAGAGTACTTTTTTTTAGTTGTTTTTCTACTTTTCACATTTATTTCGTGTACAAGCTTTAATTTTTTTAGTTGTTTTTCTACTTTTCACATTTATTTCGTGTACAAGCTTTAATTTTTTTAGTTGTTTTTCTACTTTTCACATTTATTTTTTGTACTTTAATTTAATTTTTAAATATCAAAACAATTTGATAATTTTAAATTCATTTATAAATAATTCATTTATTGCAGTGATGATGGAAAAAACTTTGAAAAAAAAAAAAAAGAAAAGATTTATTAAAATAAAAAAAACAAAGCACAATTGTAAGAAAAATGTGTATAGTTACATACAACTATTTCAAATAATAATAAAATAAGAAATTCAATTTTCAAAGTTAACAGCCTTAAAGAAGAAAATTGATGGACATTTTAATTGCCTCTGCTCATTAAAATCATTTTAAAAAGTGCTAATGTTAATTAGTTAACAATGCTATTTAATCATGCGCACTATTTATACAGAAAACTTATGTATGTTTGTATTTACATGTTTTTATTTTAATTATTTTAAACAAACTTGTTTCCTTTTTTTTTTATATATATATAAATTTTTTTTAAGGTTTACTAATATATAAAATAGGAAAAATATTATGGATCACATGTTATATAATGTAAAAACAAAAATATGTTTAAACAATTCTAAAAAATTAAACCTTCATATAAGAATAAAAAATTGTCCTATTCAACCAGATAAAATTTCATAATTTTCAAACCAGGTATATAATAAATGCTAAAGTTTGATTTACAACTATATTTATATAGAACAATTTTTATTAAAATCATTGGAGAATTTTTTTTTTTTTTTAATTTTTATAATTTTTTAAAATGCAGATTAGATTAAAAATAAAAAAAAAGTAAAAAACTGAATACTATAAAAATTATTAAATAATGTAATTTAAAAAATGTCATATAATTTACCTTTTTAGGAAATTCTTTTTTTGTGAAAAAACTTTTAAAATGACTTGCAGCTTTCTCTTTTTTAATTCGCTGGAAAAAAAAAGACAATTAAGTAACTCAGGAAAAAAAATTAATTTTTCAGGAAAAAATTAATTTTTCAGGAAAAAATCAATTTTTCAGGAAAAAAAATTAAAAATATATGGTCTATATTTTTATAGAAGGTAATTTCTATTGAAAGTCTATCAATTTTAATAAAATTGCATTAAAAAAAAAAAAAATTAATAGAAATTTTTTTAAAAATGACAAGATTTTCTATAAAACTACTCCTAAACATCAAATGTTTGAATTCAGAAAAATCTTTTTAGTAGTTCATTTTTATCCTAAACAACAAATAGAAATTAATAAAAAAATTACATCATGTTTATCATCACACCAACACACATCAACAGACATGTTTAAATCTAGTTATATTATTTAGTTTCACATTATAACCAACTGAGGTATCCAATAATTAACCTCCCTATAAATTCAAATTACCTAAAACAAAATCTTTTATGAAACTTTATAGAAGTTGAATAGAAGTCATTAAACTAACAACTGAAAAACATCTTCATGCTTTTAGAAATACTAAAATAAAATAGAACTGCTCTAAAAATTAAATTGATATTTTATAAAAATTCTATAGATACTGAAGATTTCTAAATGAAAGGTAAGGTAAAGTTTATTTGGAATTAAGTCTAGTAAATGGTATCATGCAGAGTTACTATAGGTAAGGTCAGGGTTACTTATTATTATCAGAGTTATTTATTATTATAATTACTATAATGCTATGAATAGCATTTAAAATTACTACTGCTGACTGAAGTCAGCAGTAGTAATTTTAAATATAGTATAGGATATGAAGTTCTGAAAAAGAACATGATTCAGAACCACTATTTGTTCCTGAGCTCTATTTCAAAATCTATTTCAAGTTTTGAATTCAAGTATTTTTTAGCCTATAGCAGAGGTTGAAATAACAAACTTTTTTGTTCCGGACAATTTGTTTGATAAATACTCAAGTTTGGCAGACATGTCCGATAAAAACTAAAGAAGTACAATCGAACGCCATTATGTTAAAATTTTAATGAAATAAATTTAAAAGGGGTTTTAAAAGCTGAAACAATCGTTTGAAATTTATAAAAACCATCTGACAAAAAATTAATATAAATGATAAAAACCAGGCTACTTAATTCAAAAAAAATGAATTAACTCTAAAATGATGTATTTTATTATTGTGGCTGTGTGCTCAACCTCAATTTCTGTTTTGTATTGAAAATAAAAAGTTCAAAAAATGAAGTTTATATAAAATACTGATTTTTATTAATAATTTTGGAACAACTAAAATGATTATAAAATAAATGTATATTAATTATGGGTCGGACAAAATGACTGATAGATGTTGTTTTTTACTGGACAAGTGCCGGACAATGTCCGATGTCCGGTGGCTATTTCGAGCACCTGGCCAAGAGTGTTAAATGTATTTGAGTATGCATATAACATTTTGTTAGGTGCACTTTTCACTTGAGAACAGTTTGCTTAGGTATCTCAATTCTACCACCACAACACTTATACATTTTTGTATAATAATGCATTTAAAGATTATCCCTATAAAGTCCTAGTGTATTTAAAAATTATCCCTATAAATCCCTAATAAAAAATAGCAAGTGATTAAATACATATTTCAATTGATGAGTAAGGGTTTGAGTAGGTAAATCTATATACCTAAGAAAACGATACTTAAATGTAAGAAACACCACAACCTAGAAGCAAAACCAGCAGGTAAAAACCAAAAGATATTTTATAAATCTGCCTCTAAGTAGCCAGAGATGTAAATATATATTATGGTCGTTTAACCTTGATACCTGGCAGATATTTATAGTGTGCATGCATCTTGATATTTACTGAAATTTACATAAATATATTTAAAGACCCAGAAGATAGGCAGAGATTTTTAAACTATAATAAATTATTTTTGTTCATGTTATAAACTTTTTAAAGATAGTCAAATAACAAAAAAAGATATCTAAATAAAAAAAGTTTGCTGTGATTGTTTTGTAACAAACTTTGAACAGCTGTAGAAAAAAGTATTCTTTTTAAAAATTCATGTTTTTTCAAACCTCTGTAACTTGTTGCATTTAATTTTTGATTTGAACTAAACAGTTTCTGAAACTATAACCTTTATTCTTTTAGAAAACACTAAACTTGTTAACCTGTCATTTTTTGAAGTTAATAAATTAATGATTTAAAGTAGTTTGATATCGCGCCTAAAAACGTAATATGGCGTCTGCTATTGCTACTAACCACATGTATCTTACTAAACTGTGTAGACTATGTGGACAATATATTGGCAATAATTTATTTAACACAACATCTTTAAAGAATAGAAGTGATCAGGCATTTTTCACTGAGCTAGAAGTTGATAGGACAGATACTCACCTACCCAAAATTTGCTTGAAATACTATACAAACATGCAAAATATCGAACAGCGAAGAACAACTTCTAGTTTTAGTTTAAGTCACAGGCCACAAGCATGTTCCCTCAAAAAGTGCATAGGTTTTTTAAAAAAGCCTGGTAGGGGAAAAAAAAAAGAAACTTGGAAGACCACCATTAAACAACAATACTATTTGGACCAGGGAGACAACAAAATAATGGACAGTTTCTCTGGACTGTCTCGCTTACACTATGAGTATCTGACAATCCACACAATGATTTATGTGTCTGCAAGATTTGCAACAGATTATTACATAGACCTGTGCTTCTTAAAAATCAATCATTTATTTCTGAATTAAGTTTTTTTATGAGTTGTGGAGTGATTGGCACAAAATCAATACTAATGGGTGTAAAAGCATTTAAAATTTTCAAGAAAAGCATATAGCCTATTATGCATTGTCTTCTCAAAGAGTTTACTTATATTAGAAAGCAGAGAGATGGGTCAGTAATTAGAGAAATCCAGTAGAGAGCCTTTTTTAAATATTGGAATAATTTTGACAACTTTAAAAATATCTGGGAAAATACTACTTTTAAATGAGTTATTTATAACAGTACAGAGAGGCTTTGAAATAATGTGTAAGACTAGAGGAGAAATCAAAAACCAACTAGAGGAGCTATCATCAAATGTTTTTAAAATAAAATTTATGGATTTATTAACATTGTCATCTTTTTTAATTTTAAGAGTTCCCAGTTGGTATCAGAAATTTCTTCAATAAATATACTTTTATTAAATTTTTTGAAGCATCGTCTGTAAGTTTTTACTTTTTTAGGTTGGTGGGGTATGCCAGGAATGCAAATAAATTGTGCCATGTGGTCTGAAATTGAAATCGTAACAACGGTCAGAATTCATTTTGTGATACATGTATTTTTCCATACTTAATTGGAAAATTAAAAACGACAAAATACACAATATGCAACTCTAATATAACTCTAGGTAGTATCTTGAAAGCAAAAGCAATCCAAAATATACTTGATAATTTAGTTATAAAAAATGTTGTAATGATACATGTGAAGAAAAATTTATAGCAAAAAATGTAAGTTATAAAGAAAAACATGAACAAGTATGCCAAATTCAAAACAAATCACACTATAAATCAGTATTGTCTATTTCTTTATTGACAGTAACAGAGGTATATAAAATTAACGAGAATATTGAAATTCCTAAAGAACTGGATTATGCATTTGCTCACTTTGCAAAAATGAAAATGGCAAAAAACAAATCGCATTCCTTTGAATTCCTTTCTGGTGGTCCGCAGGTAAGCTGTTTATTTTTGAAATTGAATATATGTTTATTTAAAAAAAATATATATTCAATTTCAAAAAGATTTAAATTAAAGAATTGTATACTGTTAAATGATATTTGTCACCAATAGGCTATACAGTTTACAGTGACTTCAAAGATCAACAAAACTTCAAATGAGATTAGCCAAAAAACTACTAAAAGACATCAGCACTTATGCTCAGCTCTTTTGATAAAAATAATAAGTCAATATACTGAAAAAAGCAAATATTCTCCTAGTTGAGATAAATTCGAAAATTGTATCACTAGAGGCAAAATGTGGCTTGCCTTGGGAAAAAATGAAAAAAATAATTAGGTATGTACTATAAATAACTTGTACAACGTTGTCTTTTGAACACTACAATTATTAAACTAATACTTAGTGTCATTATATATATATATATATATATATATATATATATATATATATATATATATATATATATATATATATATATATATATATATATATATATATATATATATATATATATATATATAATTCATTTAAAATGAGCTATCAGCTAGCTAATGTCACTGAACCCAATTCAAAAAATACCAAGACAGTTTTCAATATATTGGATGCTAAAGATTATAGAGCAAAAAATTGGGCTCTCAAGACACATAGAGGAAATTAGACAACTTCAGATAATAAGGTGGAGGTTAATTAAAAAATTATCTTCAAAACTTATTTGCGATTCAAGTTATAAAAAATGTTTGTAAAATAAGCATAACTATTTTGATAAATTTTGAATAGATTTTAATACTTTGTTATTTTAGGGAAAAGAATTTGTGTGTGTTCATATTTGGTGATTATGTATTTCTGTGTTCTATCTATAGCATCACAGGAGCAACAGGTCAGTCTATAGTTTTTCTATTTTTTATTAAATTCTCTAGGCTTAAACTCTAAATTAAATTACTGTTGCCAAAGCATTAATGCCAGTAATATGTGTGTGTGTATATATATATATATATATATATATATATATATATATATATATATATATATTAGGGTGGAGCGATTTTAAAAATTTTCGAAATTGGATTTGCCTGAGCTGCAAATCGATATCTTTTGGTAAAAAAAAAACTTTACTTTTTTTTTTTTTAAATTTAGATGAGTTTTTGAGGTTCTTTTTGGATTCAAATTTATGACGGATGCTAATATTGTTGAAATTTTTTTTCTTCTAAACTATATCAACTTGGTACTTAAAAGTTTGTTTTATTTCAAAACTTAAGAAAAAATAATTATTTCGTTTTTTCCATAAAAAAAACCCC